ATGTATAATCCTGGGTAACTTCTAATGCCCAGGATTCATGTCAGGAACAGTGTTTTTGGCGGAGCCCTCTCATAGAAGCTATAAGCAAAAGAAGTAAATTTTCATATTTGTTGATCCCTATTTCCTTGCTAACTCCTTGTTTCCTATCTACTTTGGGCCTACACCTTATATTAATCCACTTCATTCCCCTCCCTTTCTTCTCAAAGAGATGCTAATGATCAGCCCTCAGACAGAGATAGTGTACTACGGAACCACAACCAGCTGTCGAATTTCCATAGGTGCCCCTGCTCTTACCTTCCACAAAAGAGATATTTCCTACTAAGTCCTTTCTCCTTTCTTCTCCCTGGTCTGGAGGAATGGAGTAGTGGTCTGAAGCAAAACAGAGAGCCATTCTTATGTAAGGACTATAAACCATGAGAGTAGTCTTAAAAGATGTATATATAAGCTGCACCTTTCACTGAGAACATGCTGATACTTGGGAGAGGACAGCGGATGTGTCAGTGATTTCTTGGCTTTGAGAGAAAAAACAGAAAGTGGGTGCCCTTTAATCAGTCTCTTTGTTGATAGCCAGTCATAAACATTATTGTACTTCCCTCATTTCAGCTGGGTAATAGGAACACATATAAAACAGAAGAGTATCATTTGGGTTTTTTTTCCAGTCCTCAAAGCCATAACTGTGAAACCGGCATTTTGTACTACTGAACACATGCTGCACATTCCACTATACCTCTAAACACCCCATTGCTGCTGTTCGTGCTAGGCTAGTATGAAGTTCAGGACCCTAGGATAGGTCCTGCCCTAGGTTGATTAGAAAGAGCCTGAAGACAGTGTGTTTCTTAATAGTATTTATGAAAGTATGGCTATCAGGAAAAGTACTAAAGAGAAAATCCATGGACTTGAGGTCACCACAACTTTCCCGGTAAGACATTGATACTTCTCCATATCTGTTATGGTTTGTGTCTAGTTGTTCCTCAACTGCCTCTTGCAGTTATGGGGGTGGGCTTCTAGTGTTTGCAGTTGATTCATGCTTCAATGTGGGGATTAGGAGTGTGAGTGCTACACTCTCCCTGGGGCAGGCAACCTGCATACAATATATGGGAAGTAACCAGGCTTACTCTCTCGCTCCTCCCTTTTTGCTCTTGTTTCTTTTTCTGTCTTTTGCTCTCATGAACTGCTGCCCTTTGCCATGTGTCACCCTCCCTTGAAGCCAACTGTGTGTGGACTGAAACCCCCACAAACTGTGAGCTAGATAAAACTTTTCTTCTTTCATTTTGGGCATTGGATATTTTGTCTCAGTATTGTGAGAAAAGTAACCAAGACAATATTCCATCATGCTACCATCTCATGGGGCCTCTCTCTAGAACAGAGAATGAAGCAGACAAGCTACCTAGAGCTAGTGCATGAGTAAACCTAGCACCACGGTAATAGTCATGTCAGATAGGGAGTAAATTCAGGTTAGCAAGTGAACAGGCAAATTCAATAGTCAGATAGATCAGATTATACTTGACATTGCCTCTAGGCTTCACGGTTTTGGTTCACTAAATTGTTTTCAGAAAATAGGAGAAATGGTCAACCATATTGTGAAGGAGATTTTGCTGTCATTTTGTATGTTCTACATAGGAGCTTTCTGCAAAAGAAGGACTGAGGAGAGGAGGTATGGAGAAGAGACCCTGAAGTGCTTCCTGACAAGAGCTGTGCTATGCCATGGTTTCTGGGCTCTGTGATAGCAGGGAAGTAAAGGGATGAGGTACTGGGGTGGAGATAGCCCAATTTAGAAAGCACTTAGAAATCCATTGAGATCTCAAAATGCTTTGCACCCATAAGTCATTTGTATTAGCCAAACTTAGTAGTATTTTCTTTGAGAAAATGACCTCCTGTGAGCTCAGCAGACTAAAATTGTCAGTGGATTCCTTGTAAAGTCATGGAGGGGAAACTTTCTGAGCCTCTTGGTTGCATTGGAGTAGGGAATCCATATTCCAGTTTTGAAACCTTTCAAGGACATGAAAAGTCAGGTCATCACACACACACACACACACACACACACACATGCACGCACACACACGCATGCAAGGAAAAAAATTATGTATTTTCTTTCTCCTCTCATCTGTAAAAGTGGGTGGCTTTACATTTACTACCATCATTACCCTTTTTGAAAACAGGGTCTGTCTTATAACTCAAAAAGAAAATTTATTGATTTTTCCCATTTCTACAATACATCTTCATTGCTTATATGTCCTTTCTAACAGTGCCTTATTTAAACTTGGAATTCTACCTGTTTTGGAGAGAGTGGAAGCATAAATCTTTCTCTTCATGTGTTTCTTCTTCTCAGTTAGCTCAGACTGTGTATTTGGAGTGTTGATTATCACTTTAGTCACAGTTTTCATAAATTTCTCAACTGGGCACAGGTACAAGAGTTAAAAGCCTGGCATGTCAGACAAAAATTCATTTCTAGCTTTGGTGGTTCATAAAGTATGAAGCTTTAATTCTGTCACTAGTGGAAGATTCTACACAATCAATTGCAATCTGGCCAGATTTTCTTACAGGATTAGTATAGTGGGAGACAGTTCTACATTTTCTCCTTGTTAGTAACATTAGAGGTTGGAGTGAGAGTGAGGCTAGTTAGAGGGACTCCGAAATCTGTGTGTTTTTGATGGAAGTAATAATGATGACAGACATTGGGGTAAAGTCACTAAAATTTAGTTGAGGAAAGTGCAGTGACCGACTATGTGTGGAAGGCTGTGTGGGTATGATCTGTTGGTCAAAAACTGGCATGGCTAGAAAAACTGGTTTGTGGAGGAGTGGGTAGGATAAGTGGTAAGAAGGAGAAGTCACATTGCATACTAAGAAGTCAGGAAGTCAAAGGAAAACGATGCCTTCCTCTCTACCAAGGCTCAAAGAAGTTTGTGTAGCCTTAGATAAGAAACTTTCCCATTTGAATCACAGATTTCTGTTTGCAAAATAAGGGAATTGAATTAGATGTTCCTAAAATGGCCTTTGAGCTTGGACTTTTTGTGACAATTCTGCAAATTATGGACAGCATCGCATTTTAGCAAACACACATGCATTTATACCTGCGCTCCCTTCTAATTTTGCCGTCTAGCTGATGGTTAAGTCCCAGATCCTAATGAGTACAAAATCAGTCTTCACACGGAGTCAGAGTGAGCTGATAGAGTGCACTGTTGATGGGCTGAATTAAAACTCAGGGCACTGAGATCCTCTACCCTGGAGCCATAACTGGATAACTTTTTTTTTCCATTTTCTCATCTGGAAAATCAGGATATGAATCGCCATTCTCCCTCATCATGTTTCAAAGAGGGTTAATTAATTCATCATGTGCATTATGTGCTCAAGAATTTACTATTTTTCAAACATTTTCTAGTAAAACTTTGGAGATTATACATCCATTTGTTTTGTACACATGGAGCGCTGTTTGGTACACATCATAAAATTGAAACTGTAGTTTACATTCTGCACTCAAAGAATTACACCATCCTCCCTGATGTTTACAATAGGTCCCAATTTAGCTTCCTTGGCAAATTTTATGTAAGTATGACTTTGATTCTGTGTCTTGCCCAAGGATTTTGTGAGAGAAGAATTTTAAGTTAACCCATATTGAACCCTTTCTGTCCTTTAAATCCACTCTTTCCTTCCTTGGCTCATATAGTATTGAATGCTGCTCCTTATTTGGAATCTTGGGAGTTTTTGGTGCTTTTCAGTATTTTCTTCACTCTCTGATTTGTTGAGTAACATTTCCCTGGAGAAAATTAACTCCATCAGGAGGATCTACTTATAGCTTTACTAAAAGCTTGACTAGTTTGTCTTTGCTCAAGAAATTAACTCACCCTCTCTTCATAACTCCCAGAAATCTTTTCTCAAAGCTCCTTTTATCTTTCTGTGTCTTACCTCTTTAAGTGTCACAGCCAAGCTTTAGGGAAAAATTTATTAAATTTTATAAAGGACCAGGAAATAAATATTTTAAGCTTTTCATGTCCCATGATCTCTGTCTTATCTACTCAGCTGTAACTTTTCACTATGAAGGCAGCATAGACAATATACAAACTAATGGGTATAGCTATGTTCCACTAAAACTTTGTAGGCACTGAAATTTGAATTTAATTTAATTTTTACTTCTATTAAATACTA